CCTGTGCTGTCTTACCACCAGTTGCTATGGGAAATGACCCATCTTTAATTACAGCTTTTGCACTGCAAGAGCTCAGGGTTTTCCCAACAGCAGTACATTTCACAACAACATCATCAGCATTTGTAGCTCTCGTGGGCTGTACTAGCCTACTACCAACCTGTGACTGGCACACATTAGTGACATCACTTGCTTTTTGAGAACCATGCACAGGTTTAACTTTAACCCCTAACTCCCCACTGTACAAGGCACTGCACAGGGAAAAGTCACTCTCAAAAGCACATTCAGTGGCCCAACTAACTGGGGTCACTCCTACATCAGAATGGACAGTCTCATAACCAGTCCTTCTCAACATGACAGTCCCAGCCATGGTTTTATCACACACAGTCTTACCCACCACAGTAGTAGGTGTCACCATCTTCATTTGAGTGCGTTGTCTCATAAACGCATCTTCAACTGTACTTTCCTTGGCAACTTTTCCCTTGCCCCAAGGTGAAGTAACAGGCGCCATCATAGGCTCCATGGACTCTCTGGCACCCCCTGCAGGCCCAACAGGAACTTCCTCCCTGTTGCCAGAGGTGGCTGCCAACATTTTGAAACAAGACTCTGGACTTGCAATTGTAGATATTTGCCCAGTATCAGCGGTATTCCAGAGTCTGGGACAGTAAAAGATCCCATGCCCCCACTGACCACATTCCATGCAGGGTACATTTCCACACTTCCCTTTATTGGGATACTGAACCACATCTCCAAGGCAGCTCCTCCTTCCAGGCAATATTTTTTCTCCGGTCGCCATGGGAGATTGCACTCTCCAAGCAGAACTTCGCTGGCTAACACGCTGTATTGGCTCCTCTTGATGCCACTTGTCATGATCCTTATATGACATTGCCCCCTGTACACAGACAGCCCGACTGGCCTCCTCTGTGTTGCTATGGGCCTTCACTCTTGATCCTGGCCTCTGGTCAGCCCCTCTCCTTGCACATAGCTTGGGCTTCTCTCTGCTGGACCCTCTTTCAAGCCATGACACATTCACATTTTTCACAACAGCTACTGGTTTAACTGCAGCAGCGCTGCCAGGGGCAACAACACCCCTCTCCCAGGTACAGACATCCTGCAGCTCTCTCCTTGCACTGAAGGTTGGCTTGCTTTCCTCTGTAGGTTGGTTCAATGCTGCCAGGTGCTGCTTGCACCAGTCCACAGCAGATTCACCCACATCTACATTTCCCAGCTTGGCTGGGGCATGCGGTATATAACCCCCTAGCCACAGGGCTTTCTCTCTCATCTCAGCAAACATTGCCTCCTTTTTCTGTTTTGACCGCCCCATCTTTGCAGTCATGCACACAGCAGTGTGTTACACAGTTCAGCAACACCAAGGAACAGTCTCTTTAAGGCAAAGTCCTTTTCTTTAGCAGGTTCTCCTCTCCTGCACACACAGATAGTGCAGACATATGCACCAAACACAGTTCATATAACTGATGAACTTACTTCAATCGCTGGGATCTCCAATTCTGCCCGCATCCTCCACCATATGTGGGAACTCGCTTCAAAGTGGTAGAGCTTTTAAACGCACACAGCTACTCACTTATTTTTCAAGGCCTTTTTAGCCCACTTTTATTTAAATGAAAGTTCAAACAGAAGTTTCCCACACAGGGGTATCGATCATCCACAAAACAACGGTTCAGACTCCTGGCTTACACTCAGCTTGCTGTCTGTCTCCTGCAGACTTCTTCCCAAAAATATGGCACTTGCACACCGCTGGCCTCTAGCACACAGCTAGTCTCTAGCAGCCCCTTGCTGCTTTTGGCTTCCACCTCTCCTAGGTGAAGCCCACCTGACTTCCAGGCAGTGACCTCCTGTCTTCCAAGTGGAGCTCTCCTGACTCCTCTCTGCCGGGGTGGAGCCCAGAACTCTGATCCTGACTCTCTGAAAAGGCCTGCACCCACCTGTGCAATCAGTCTCCTGGCCATTCCCAAAACCTGGTCCCAGGATGGGAGATTTCATCCCTCCCAGATCGCTTCGAAATCTCCAGGCTCCAGCTCCCAAAACAGACCTTACAAACAAAGGAGGAATGTGAAAAGCCACTTTCCTCCAAATCAAACACTTACCCTGGAGCCCCTCAACCTGCCTAGTTGAGAATCCTGGGTGACAGATCGTCACACTGTCACAATATATATATATATATATATATATATACTGTATGTGTGTGTGTGTGTGTGTGTGTGTGTGTGTGTGTGTGTGTGTGATTCTGTGCACAGGTGCCGCCCTGTAACAGTTTATCTGCTATAGGGCAGTCCTTAAGTGGTTAAATAAACTGAGGCTTGCAAAGAGGCAGATTTACTAAAGGAGATGAGCAACTTTACTCAGTAAATTATAGCTGGGATCACTGAATACCCATTCACCATCTTTCTACAATGTATCTCCTGACAATATATTTGTATACCTCATGTGCAAAACTGACAGTTAAATACAGTTACAGACATTCACAACAAAAGTTGTAAACCTTTCTGACCATAACTCTTTAACAGTCTTTGAAAGAAATCTTTGACATTAAAGACCTGGACCCATGTACAGTAAATTGAACTTTCAACCTACATTGGGAGCTAAATATTAATGGCTCTAGTCTATACTAAATTTGATTGGCCAGCCACAGTATCTACCCTGAGCTTTATAGAGTCTTGGGTTGCTTAAATACATTTACCTTAATGCCCACATACATTTTCTGTAATTCTCCTGAATGATAAAAACAAATCGATTCAAAGCACTTTAATGCTGTTTGAAAGGTTAGGGACATGTATACTGCAATTTTTGTCTGTAAAGGAGATAATGGCTTGATGGTCTAAACCTTGACTTTACAGTGCTTAGCATCAATTATTGTTTTTTCTTTACATTTCTTAAACCTAAATAAATGAAAATCTATGGGAGTGGTAGATGGAGTGGGAGTTGATAGAGCTTCCACAATGCAGCACTTTTATACATCTTTCTTCTAATGAGAAAAAATATCAATAGAGTGCAATGTCAGGTGCAAAAGAAGGTGAAAGCACCTGGCACTGACGAAAAAAAAAAGAGTAGTGGGTGTTAGACAATGCAATCATTTCAACCAATCGGTCATCATTAGGGGCTGCGAAGACCCATTGGTTGAAATGTATTGCGCAGAGCTTAAACATGACATCAGATGCTACTACAGACTAGAGGTGCCATGGAATACACGCTGATGTGATTTCTATGTGTCTTTATCAACAGTCAGTGCTTAAGAATCTGTGCTATCTGAAGTGCTATTTTCCTTAGCTACAAGTCATGACTGCTGGGCTGCAGAGGGTACTGAATTGAAGATTTGTTGCACGTGCTATCTTGATTGTGTGAGAGATACCAGGATATTGCTGCTTAAGTGTGATTTGATGTCCTATAATATGTGGGGTCAAATAATCTCGTAAGCAGTGCAGTGTGATCTTAAATGTGTGTGTGCTTCTTAAAATCTACAATTTAGGATGGAGGCACACACTCTGGTGAAGGTGAAATAAAGTTATCTTATACAGTATTATTTTAACAGAGAATTGAAGACAATTTAAAAACAATGGGCTTTTAAAATATGGACTAGTTAAATTAGCTATTAATGCTTATGGTTTTGCGATTTTCTGAATTTGTATGAATTGTTGCTTTTTGTTGAAATAAAGTAACTCTTCTAATGGGAAAGGCAAGCTTAACAAATGATGGGCTACATACAGAGACAAATTCCCAGTGTTTCAATGAGTTGCATAGTTTTTTTTTCTTTCTTATATGATGGATCTTATGTATGGGGTGATAAGTATATACATTTTTATGTAAAATTCTGGAAAATAACACTTAACAAAAAAATTTAACCTGATGGAAAGAGTAATGGGATAATCTAGACAAACTGTCAGTGGAGCAAATCTTCTATTTTTTCTTTTAATCTGGATTGATCTTTGTTTAGGATTAAACACCCACCAATATTTATATGCAAAGCAAATCCAGTACACGTAAAAATATCCAGTTCTGACAATGTCAATTATTTTGACAAAACAGCAGCTAATATTTTACTTTTCAAAAGATAACACGTGCCAAAAAATACAGTATAGCTTTCATTGCTGTTTTCCCACTGAGGAAATTTTCCTTCACATTCTGTTTGGTCACTGGGATAGGAAGTGAGCAGGACAGGATAGAAGAGGGAATTCTTACTAGCAAGACACAGAGAGCAATAAAAATCTGACAGAGGTTTCAACCCTTCCCTAGTCTGCAGACAACTATTACAAATCTTGCAAGCATCTCATAATTTGAACTGTATAAAGAGATGTTTATTACCTCATAAGCTTAAATAAAGCAAATATTTGCTTTGTCCTGCTTTAAGTTCAAGGCTGGTTTCACATTCTTGTTCTCCGGTTTCACCACGGCTCAGGTGTATTCATGGCTTTCACTCATTTTACTTGTGGTTTTAGCCACAGCCACATAGAATTTCTATTAGGTAATGTTTTCTGAAAGTACACAAAAGATGCACCATGCATGACTTTTGTTGCACTTTCAGAAAATGAGTAAAAAATGTGCAATGTGATAAAAAGTCTATAGGACCATGGCAGGAAAATCACTGATATATCCACATTGCAGCCAAACCACAGTGAAGCAGTGTAAAACCAGCTTAATGCACTGGTCAGTCTTTGCTATTGCAAATGGTTTCCACACTCAAGTGTTCCCAAGCAGCCTATTACAGGTTTCCTAAGTGATAGCATTAAAAAGCATTAGTTTACCTACAAGAGTACAGAAATAATGTAATGTTATGAACCAGCACCAAAGAACTGTTGTATGCAATGTAATATCATTTTAAGTTTAATTTTAGTATAGATATACATCCAGCATTGCACACTAATTGATTTAGCTAATGACATTAAAATAAAATTTGCTATTATTGTTACTTTAATAATGATACAGTATTTATCTTTGAAATGTCAATTACACATAAGAGTTTCTCACCACTTACTTTCTTGTCTAAAATTTCAAACACTGCGATTTAACTCCATTGTGTCTTTGGAGAGATAGACCACCCAGTATACTAAATTAAATCCTGCAAATGCCAATGGGAATAATATTCTGGCATACTGGTCTATTTTACTAGTTCCACTATGAGGACTTGATGAGATTCCAAGTTGTGTAAGGTCTGCAGCAGGAACATCAGTCTGTTGACAATATGGTACTCCATAGGGTGGTACATTGTCTTCAAGTGATACATCGCCTTGAGAGACCATTGAGTTAATTCTTTTCTTTAAGTTGCAGTTAGAATCAGAATGCTGCAAACACAAAATAGTTTTAAACAGTTACAACTAACTTTGAAACTTGAGATACAAATGCTATAATGAACATAGGTAGTTTTAAAGCTGCATATAAAATACTTTTTACATTTATTTTTTCAGTTTACGTATTTCGAAATTGATATTTTATGCATTTGTATTAATTATAAATGTTTGTATTCATTATAAATTATACTCATTTTATTTTACAGATAAACATTTAATGCAAAGTGCATGCGTGTTACAGTAAATGCAGAAGATGCCAGGTAGGAATGCCTTGTACTAGCTCTGCACTTGTTTGTCAGCATCTGCAGGCTGAAGGTCCAGATTGGCATCATCTGTGGTATGACTAGAGGGGGATATTTCTCTCCTGTAAATCACTCAGCTAAATAATTTAGCTGTGCGTGTAATCTGACTTTCTGCCATTCAGCTCTGCATATACCAGCTATCTAAAACCTTGGAGTATTTGCCTCATACTCACAAACTGGTGACTGCAAGTAGAAATTATGAAATGTTCAACAACATTTTCAATTAAACATTTTCATTTAAGGCTTGAAAGTTAATTTCTAAAGGAAAATCAAAGGAAAAAAAGATTTTATAAAAAGTCTAACAAAAAGATGTTGGATTTTTGAATTCTTCAGAGTGCAAACCAGTGCAAAGCTTTTTAAAATAATTCTTATTCATTAATTTTGTCAATTTATTGGTTTTCATGTTCACATGAAGTCCTTAATTGTAAAACAGTATGAAAAAGGGAAGGAGTGGTACTTCTTTATTTTGTAGTAAATATTAAAAAAAGGAATATTGGAACATTGTGGAATTATTTTTTGTTATAGTGATACTTTTTCTTCCTATTACAGTAAATAGGTAAGGTTCCAAAAGCCCCTTTACCAGTTCAATGGGAGCAGTGAGTAACAAATGTTGTGCCCTGATGGAGGCAATCCTCTTGTACACATTTCCATCTGACAGTGACCTTTCTATTTGGCTGGTGTTTCAAGAAGGTATTGCCTTTTTTTCTAAGCAATATTTGCCAAATAATGTGCTACATATTAAAAAAAACAAATAGGTTTTTTATCAGCATGACATGTTCTTCAGCCCTTGTGCCTTGTAGTTACCAGGCAGTATGTTTGCTTTGCCAGGTTTATATATTTCTGGTTTATGAAATTATCTAGTGGTAAATAATGTTATGAATGTGTGTAAATGGTTTTTATATCTTGTTTCTGTTTCTAGTTTGTGAATATATTGGTACATGAGGCTTCTCTGCTCCATGCTTTGCAATAGTACACCAATAGTTGTGCCATTCCGTTCCTCCTCACAGTGCAGGTCTGAATTGGCAGACTAATTTAAAACATGTGCTTGATAAAGGGGTGACTTGCCCCTGAAACATGCTGTCATGACAAGCCATACCCCCAGATTTACTCCATAGCAGCTGTTGTTTCTTTCTATCAGTTGCAGCCTCCCGAAGCTTCTCACCTTTGTCAATGCAGCCTGCTTCACCTAATAGCCTGCACCCAATGGCATACCTTTCCCCTTACTGGCTTCACAGCAGAGGGCACAGGTGCAAAATTGCCAACTCCATCTCAACTGTCAGCTACACCGCAGGCTTACAAAGTGGATTGTAGATCAGGCTACAGAGAGCACATCCTATCTAGTCTACATGCACTGCATATGCCTATGCATTTCCTGCTAAATGTGAGTGTGATGAATTTAATCTTTCTTTTTAGCCATAATAAATGGTTTAACTACACTAGTTTTGGCTTTCCCTTTTTTTCTTGTTTATGATTATTTCCATATGCTGCATTTTACATAAATGCATACAATAAATTAACGTAGTAAATAAACCTTAGTTGCAAGTTGTGCACATCAGTTTACGTTGGGAAGTTTTGGTGGATTATTACAACAAAATCTGTTTTATAGATTTCAATGCATGCCAATAAAAAGAAAAATATTTTTAATGCTAACACATCTTAAAAACCAAATCATAGTTACCAATAAAATATTTGATGAGAAACCAAATGTCTGTCTAATGATGTGGCTGTGTTTGTTCCAGGTCTAACTGCAATGTTCTAATGTGACCGTTGATGATTAATTGAGTTGTTTGGCAGACCAAGATAGTGTTTCTCGAACCTAATTATTTTTTATTATGATTTGCCAGGCTCGGTCTGACGACCATCTGTAGTCCATAGCTTTATTACTTTTTTTATAGACTGTCATGGCTATGGAGCCTTCGGCATGATTGGTAAGTTGATTCAGTGGAATGGTATTTTTACCAGTTTCATCTGAATCACTGGCTCAGCAAAAACTGTTTTTTTAAGGACATATGGAATTTTCATGGAAGGCAAAAGATCAGGTTGAACTGATCATTAATTACCATAAAATATCCCTATATCATGTGCACATATGTACATAGGCCATTCACTGGCCAGAAATATCATTAGTGTTTTATCTCTTTTTTTATTATTCAAATGAAAACCCTCAATATAACTGAATTATTTTTTCTTTTAGAGAATGTGTATGGTTTTGTACATAATTTCCTTATTTATTATGAGTGGAATTCAAAATAAAGGTTTAAAACAAATGGAGATTTTGGCTTCTTTTCACATATATATGCATCATTTTACAGTCTATTGAAAAAAAAAACCATTCATCCCAGTGACCTATGCTGTATGGTAAGCCTCATTCCAAAATCAAAGCAGACAAATGTAGTCACAAGACAGGCAGCCACTGCTGCTCTGTTTCTTTAGCTAATCAACAGTGCTATTTCTTATGTATTACTATTATATTACATACTGTATATACAGTATAACCAGGTGTGCACCCAATGAAATAGCCAAAATAGTTAAAATATAACACAAGAGGGTTACAGCAAAATATCCATAAGTTACTGATTCATCAAAAAACAATACAGCAACTTCAGGCAGTTGAAATGGAAGTATGGATGGATGATCACATCCTAAATAACTTCCATATATAAAACACAAGAGATGCTAAAGAAGTGTAACCACTTATTAACCCTTACACAATCATAGCACAGTCATGAATTTAAGAAGCAAGATTCTTTGTAGTCATATAGTGAAAAACATGTTAAAGCTGGCCTATTGTATCAAAGTGATTTGGCCAGTCCCTACTTTATCTCATACATACCTGATTTTTTTTTTTTTTTTTTTTTTACAAGTGCATGGGTGCATTATCATTCTTGAATGTAGGAATTACCTGAGTGAACTGTAATATTGGTTGTGTGCATATAAAGTAACATAATAATAATAATAATAATAAAAAAAAAAATAATGATAGTGAATGTAAGCTGACTTTAGGGTCTTCACTACAGCATTTATGTCCCTCATTTGGTGTATTTCACTGAGGGTACAGGTCAGGCTAGGAATACACAGAGCAAAGAAAACAAATCTCAGCCACTGCACACCATACAAGCCTGGTGTATGATAAGTGATAGCAGCCCAAGCCTAATTCCATCCAGGCCATGGCCTATCAGACACTGGGCTTGTATGGTGTGAGATTTTTTTCTCCTTGTTTTGCGAATAAATAATAATAGTTATAATACTCCTCAGGACAATACTAAAACTGTCAAGCAACATTTTACCTGAAAGCCAAGTATTTAGATTACAGATCTATAACAATAGATATTTGTAGAAATGGTTTTAACTTCCCAACCCCAAAATTCACTAATAGATTGAACACAACTCTGTTACCTCCTGCCTGCCTGTGTCACAACAAGCTTTGTTTTTTCATGACAGCCCATGGTCCATAGCATATACAGAGAAAGGATTCAGCAGGGCAGAATCCTTACACTCCCCAGCATGTTCAATGATTGAATACCTTCTGTAACGTTCCCGCATACCACTCATACCTGCACCCCTATATATACTGCTGCAGCACACATAGCTTAGAATAGGAAGGAGGTGCTAAATGCAAGCCTAGCACAGAACCATTATAATACAAGAACATCTATGGGATGCATTTAGCAATGGCTTCCACTGGAAAAAAAAGGGAAATATGCAGACCATAAAGACCTCTACATGAACTTAAACAGCTGACGAGCTGTAATGATGTTTGCAACCAGTAGGTGGCATATGCATTGTAATTTTGTATATAGTGTAACTGATACTCTTCTCTGAAATTACATGGGTTAACCTCCAGCTGAATTTCCTGACATTTATTACAAATCTTTGTTTATTGTTGCTGTTTACATTGTTTAAATTCATACTTAGAGAGCAGAGACATCAGATTAAATTTTACCTTCAGGTTATTTTGTGTTACACTGGCCTCTGTGCTCCAAAGTGATTTTTGGTTGCAAATGGTAGTCTTTTTTGCTTTAATATCAGGTAAGCTTTTCTACCATAGATACAATTTAAATTATATGAAAATATAATTTCATAACATAGACCTACTTCAGTAACATTTCTAATGACTTTCTGTAGTTATATACAAAATATGTATCTGTTTTATACTAACCTACAGGTTTCACTGTGGTATATGAGGCTGCCATCTTTTTGCACCTTTATTTAGGTTTAATTTCAAATAGCCTGACAAAAAATAATGATCCAAATAGATTAACACGTTCTGGCACTCTATGTTTGGGGGTTTTCAACCTGCAGGATGTACAGCTGCATTTAAAAACACTGAATGAGGAAAGAACAAAGAGAGGGCGCACAGGCCTAGTGCATTACCATAAAAAATGTTTAATAAGAAATAAATTAGGTGGCTCTGAGGAAGAGGCAAATCCTCAAAACGCATCAGATATTGGATGTCTACACTCCCTATTGCGGACGTTACTCAGCGCGGTGTTGACCCAGCTGTTCTTTTATGATGTGCCTTTTCTTTATTCTCGTTTGTGAGTACAACACCTATTTTATTTCTTATTAAACATTTGTTATGGTAATGCACTAGGCCTGTGTGCCCTCTCTTTGTTCTGTCCTCATTCAGTATATTTGGGATTCCCCCGGTCCATTTGAGCGCAGCAAGGTGTGCATGTTCCAGGACATTCTTAATGTGGTTGTAGCCTGCATCGAGTCCATCCCGCAGGAGCATTTGTGTTTGTTGGTGCATTGGGGCTGATTTAAAAACTAGAAGAAAGGAAATGATAAACTCTTTCCCATAGTACATAATTAAATGTCTGCTTCAATTTTCTAAGATGAACCAGAAAAAAGAGAAAAGGAAGTGGTATTGGTTGGTATGGACAACACCACTCCTTTTCCACTTCTTTAGCTTTATAAATCAGTTTGCAAAAGACTGTTGAACTGCAGCCAGCAAATACATTTTACTAAAATCAGTTGTAAAACGATATATAGTCTCCATGTGTATATAATACTTTCACTGAATAACTTACTGTGACAATCTCATCCTCTGCTGCTGCTGTCACGGCCACTGCTGCTAAGGCAGCTGATTCTTTAGCTACCTTCATCATAGCTTTTTGAGTCTGTAGATTGGTAAAATAATTCACTGCAGCAAACTCAATAAGTGCAGAGAATACAAAGGCAAAACAGACAGCTATAAACCAGTCCATTGCAGTTGCATATGATACTTTTGGGAAAGAGTGCCTTGCGCTGATGCTTAAAGTGGTCATTGTAAGAACTGTTGTAATCCCTTTAAAATAAAGAAGAAATTAATAATATTAATAAATTTTATTACGCATATTGTATATACACACTCACAAAGGAGGAAAAAAAGTCCCTAATGCTAAATGTGTAAACCATTATTTTGGCACATTATGATTAACTAGGATGTTATTTAGAATAAGTGCCCTAATGTCAAATGCCAAAGAATGAGCTGATTTATTATTGGTGACATCTGCAATTAACCTTCCACTAGTAACAGTGACAATGGGTCTTACAGGGAAAAAGTGAATTATGTGGCTATATTTACCATTTGTGGTTACATCGGCAAAAAATCACCCTGAAATATTTGATCTCTACAAACACCCCACAGACATCAAATTATTGTTGTTTCTTAAGGATAAACCTAACAACAGAGTAATCTATTAGGTGAATAGCCTATAGTAGTAGCATACATGTTTATGCCAGGATCCTCTTCATGCCCTATTGTGTTTCTGCTACCTTTAGAATTATTACAAATTCATTGCAAGATTTGCTGACCATTTGTCAAACAACACCCAATGCATACATTGCTAATCCGAAAGAAATAGTAAATTAAGTGTCTTCTGTGCAAATGATTGGTATTCAGTGCAATTAATGTTGCAAAGTAATTCTTGAATGTGTTAATTTTTTCACTGATATGGTAACAGACTAATCGTTTTTTCTAAAAAAAAAAAAGAGCTAATTTAGTAAAGCAAAGAGGATTTTACAAAGGTGATATAGCCTATAATTACCAATCAGCAATATCTAAATTGAAAATTAAATGGCCTGATAACTTTTGGATGTGCTAGGTATTGTGTTGGATAAATAATTATCACACCACGGTTTGTTTAATAAGTAAGTGAAAAGTTCAGTAAGCCATAGCAACCAATTATACTTTCATCTATTGTATTGTAGTAGATTCATAAAAGGCTGCTTTGAGTTATTGCAAAAGTTAGAAACAAGCACCACTCAGGATTCTCCCACTGTGACAACAATAAAATTAGTCTTTATTTAATTACACCAAAAGCAGCCAGAGCTTGTTATATAGATGCTTTTCAAGAGAATTATTAAGTGTAAATGTAAAATATAAACCCAACAAAAACATACATACAGGCCCTACTCTTATTATATTCATTCAGTCATTAGAGAATACTAAACTCACACTTGTGAGAGACAGGAAAGGTAAGCTATAGAGCTTTCATAAACTGCTAAAGTAAACCATATCCATCCACAAAAAGCATATTCGATAAAACAAATAGAGAAACATTTGGATCTTTCTACTCAACAACAGATCCCATTAAAAAAAAAAATGGATCCAAAAGCATATGGAAATGCAGATTAAGTTTAAGAAAACATAATGAATTAAACAGACAAGTGACCTAGTGCACTGTGTCATTTGAATTGCAATTAATATCGTGCTCCAATGCATATTTTATCTTCTCCAGCTGATGTAAGTGTTTTGGGAGTTTTAACTGTCTTAATTTTGGCACTGGTACAAATCTTTGAAGGACTAGCATGCCTGGCTCCTGATACTTTCACAAGCATTGACTAAATAATTCATTTGACAGTTTACTTTTTTACTTCTTTAGGATTAAGAATTATACTGTAGGTTATAGATTAATATTGGGAGAAGATAGGATTAAATATTAAATTAAAAATAGTTTAGGTGTTAGGAGGTATAATGTTAGAATAACGTTAGGTATTATGTGTTAAATTTGTTGTTAAAGCTTTAACACAGTGTTGGGTTATAGTTTACATTTCAGTGCTATGTTGTAGGGTAAGAATAAAATCTAAATTTAGGGTTAAATTTTAAGGTTGTAGATAGGAAATGGTAAAATGTTGGGGAGACAGTGCAGGGGGCATCATAGTTTACAGTGAAATTGCTGTTAGTTTTTGATACTAAAAGCCCTTCACCATATTGTTCTGCTCTTACTTTCCATTTCCATATTGAAAAGTAAGAAACATTGCCTAGATCAACAGGAGAAAGGTTTACCTATATATAACTATGTTGGAGCTAACTTCTGTTCAATCTATATAAATGTTAGGTAAGATCTGTTCATTTAGGGCCAGTGCTTGTTTACCATTAAATCAAAACACCTGTTTCAAGAACTCATGGGTAATTGTATTTGAGTGTAATTTGATGGACTCACTCACAGAAACAAACTTATTTGTATGTAATAGTTTTCAAAACGTAGCAGCATGTATACTGGAAAATAACACAATGACATATTAAGACTAATTCTAATATGTTAACCATTTTACATCCTTTAGACCATTTTAAAATGTTCTGGAATTGAAGAGGTTAAAACAAGCTCATGGCTGCATTAAAAACCATGAGCTTGGGGTCATTAATTTTAGTAATTTTTTTTAATTTATCTGAGTGGCTCCCACCACCACCAATGGTGGTTCCAAGGCTTTCCCGTTTCTACTTGGACCACGGAAAACTTCCCCAATAGTTTGATTCAGAGAAGATCAAGGAGCATCCATTCCCTGATCTCCTCTGTGACTGATGAACCTTGTAGTAAGAAGGATTTTGACTTCCGGTTTAAGAGCTGTCATTCCTTGGCTATTGTAACCAAGGAAGCAGCTAATCAACCATGACCTGTATTTGATTAACTGCTGTGGAAGGCAGGGGAGACATTGGGGGACTAAATGAGCCTTGACAACTCCATAAAGAATACCTGTCACCTGTCCATTCTATCACATAGGGAGCCTGTTGGTCCCCTATGCATCTGATAAATAGTTATGCAACATAAAATGCAACAGCCATGATTTTATTCTCCAGGGCTTTTGCTTTCAGAAAATATATAATGTTTGTGGGTGCTAAGCAATGTTAAAAAAAAATGCTAATTTTAATGTGTGGGAAAAAATCAAAAAGTGTCCTGTATGTGAGGTGGTTAATAGACAGCATCCCAATTCATATTAACCACCTCCCGCCCGCCATATAGTAATATGACGGATGCAAGGTGGTTCTCTCGTTCTGGGAGGACATCATATGACGTCCTCCCATTCTCATCGTGCGTGCGTGGCTCCCGGAGCGCACAGCGCGGCGATCGGCGGTGCGCTGTGTCCCGCCCGCCATATAGTAATATGACAGATGCAAGGTGGTTCTCTTGTTCTGGGAGGATATCATATGACGTCCTCCCATTCTCATCGCGCGTGCGTGGCTCCCGGAGCGCACAACGCGGCGATCGGCGGTGCGCTGTGTCCCTTGGACACAGAGGATCACCGATCCATGGAAAGAGCCAAAGATGACGGCTCGGTCATGTGATCAGCTGTGTCCAATCACAGCTGATCACATGTAAACAGGGAAATGACGGTTATCGGTTTCTCTCGAGCTGTCACGCTGACAGCTCGAGAGGAAGAGCCGGTAATTGGCATTCCGCAGAGGGGACATCTACACTGATCATCAGAGCACTGATGATCAATGTGCCCTGATGATCAGTGTAGCCCCAGCCGTGCCACCTGTCAGTGTCCATTAGTGCCAGCTGTAAGTGCTCATCAGTGCCACGTGCCAGTGCCACAGCAATGCCACATATCAGTGCCTACCAGTGCACACCAATGCCACATATCAGTGCCCATCTGAGCTGGCTTTCAGTGTCACCCATCAGTGCCAGTCAGTGCCACCTATCAATGCCTATCATTGCCACCTATAAGTTCCATATATCAGTGCTGCCTTTCAGTGCTCATCAGTGATGCCTGTCAATGACCATCAGTGCCACCTACCAGTGCCTCCTCACTAGTGCCCATCAGTGCCAACTATCAGTGTCCATTAGTGCAGCCTCATTAGCGCAAATCAGTGAAGGAGAAAAATCACTTATTTACAAAATTTTATAACAAAAAACTAAGAAACTTTTTTTTCAAAATTTTCTGTGGTTTTTGCTTTGTTTAAGAAAAAATAAAAAAGCCAGAGTTGATTAAATATCACCAAAATAAAGCTCTATCTGTCACAAAAAAATGATAAAAATTTCATATGGGTACAGTGTTGCATGACTGCACAATTGTCATTCAAAGTGCAACAGTGCTGAAAGCTGGAAATTGGCCTGGGCAGGAAGGGGTATAAGTGCCCAGTAGGCTTGTAGTTAAAAGTTTAAATTAATTACATCTTTATTAATGTATACTCAAAACTCAGAAAGAAACTTCATAGGTCAAACTTCATAGGTGATCATAACAATGGATAATCAGTATATAACATTTATCATGTGCAGCATCTCCCCATCTCTCACCAACCAATGAGTTACTTCACCTTACGCCTTTATCACATATTTTTTTTACTACTCTCTTATTTAAATAATGTCAACATTTATGAAGAGTTGAGTGTTATATATCAAAAATATATAACAAGATGATGTGACAGTGTTATATATCAAAATATATAACAAGATGATGTGACAGACACTTCTTGGGTCCAAAACTCCAGTAACATCAGGTTCATAGTTATTTAAATATATATACATACTGAAAATAAGCTAGGCCCATACCCGCAACAGTCCTTGCTGGAACTGATTCTTTGTTGATCCAAAACACAACTTGGGACAACACAACAGTCATGCTGCATGGAATGTATGTATGGATGATGTAATAGCCTATTTTTCTTCGTAGAAAAAAACAGGACAATTTGCTGTGAATATTCACCTGTGACAAATAAACAATGAAATGATAAATGAATAATGAAATGGAAATTAATGAGTGCACCAGTTCCAAGGCATACCAAAAACTGTTCTAGCCGGAACAGATTCTTTGTTGATCCAAAAAGACACCTGAGAAAGAATGACGGTCATTATGCAAGGGATATATGTCTGTATGACAAAATAACCCATTTTCCTTTGTAAGTGGAAATGCACTGTCATTACAATGTATTCACCTGTTGGTTAAAAAAATAAACATATAATTAACTCAAAGAATACAATTACATGTAATGAACATCATTATTCTTAACAGATGCTGTTTTAATTTTACAGTGAGATCCTTAATGCTAGTATCATGGCTAGGCTGCATCAATAAAAAATAAACTCACTGTCATTGAACTTATTGATAGAAAAACTAGATGTCTTAAAAAAAGTTGAAAAAATAAACATAAAGAAAATAATTGCAGCTATATAATCCATTACTGAGACAGATCTGCTCTGAGTGTGTGTGTATATATATATATATATATATATATATATATATATATATACAATTTCTTGAATGGCCTTTGCTTCATAATCCTCTCAAGGCTTTCCTGTTTGTTCACCTTTTTCTACCACATTTTTTCCTTCCACTCAACTTTCCATTATTATGCTTGCTGACAGCACTCTGTAAGCAGCCAGCTTCTTTAGCAATGGCCTTTTGTGACTTAACCTCCTTGTGGAAGGTGTCAGTGGCTGTCTTCTGGACAACTGTCAAGTCAGCAGTCTTCCCCACGATTGTGTAACCAGACCGAGAGACCATTTAAAGGCTCAGAAAACCTTTACAGGTGTTTTGCGTTAATTAGATGATTAGAGTGTGACACTGTAAGTCTACTTGTTTAAATACAGGTGAAACTCGAAAAAATTAGAATATCGTGCAAATGTTAATTTATTTCAGTAATGCAACTTAAAAGGTGATACTAATATATGAGATAGACTCATTGCATGCATAATTGTGATGATTATGGCTTACAGCTCATGAAAACCACAAATACACAATCTCAGAAAATTAGAATATTGCATGCAATCAATAAAACAAGGATTGTACATAGAACAATATTGGACCTCTGAAAAGTATACTGTAAGCATGCATATGTACTCAGTACTTGGTTTGGGCCCCTTTTGCAGCAATTGCTGCCTCAATGCGGCATGGCATGGAAGCTATCAGCCTGTGGCACTGCTGAGGTGTTATGGAAGACCAGGATGCTTCAATAGCGGCCTTTAGCTCTTCTGCGTTGTTCGGTCTCATGTCTCTCATCTTTCTCTTGGCAATGCCCCATAGATTCTCTATGGGGTTCAGGTCAGGCGAGTTTGCTGGCCAATCAAGCACAATAATCCCACGGTCATTGAACCAGGTTTTGGTGCTTTTGGCAGTGTGGGCAGGTGCCAAGTCCTGCTGGAAAATGAAGTCAGCATCCCCATAAAGCTCGTCTGCGGAAGGAAGCATGAAGTGCTCCAAAATCTTCTGGTAGACGGCTGCGTTGACCCTGGACTTAATGAAGCACAGTGGACCAACACCAGCAGATGACATGGCTTGCCAAATCAACACAGACTGTGGAAACTTCACACTGAATCTCAAGCATCTTGCCTCTCCATTCTTCCTCCATACTCTGGGTCCTTGGTTTCCAAATGAGATGCAAAAGTTGCTCTCATCAGAAAAGAGGACTTTGGACCACTGAGCAACAGACCAGGTCTGTTTTTCTTTAGCCCAGGTAAGACGCTTCTGACGTTGTTTGTTGTTCAGGAGGAATACGACATTTGAAGCCCATGTCCAGGATCCGTCTGTGTGTGGTGGCTCTTGATGCACTGACTCCAGCCTCAGTCCACTCCTTGGGAAAGTCCCCAACACTTTTGAATGGCCTTTTCCTGACTGGCTGCGGTCATACCTGCTGCTTGTGCACCTTTTTCATCCACACTTTTCCCTTCCACATAACTTTCTATTAATGTTCTTTGATATAGCACTTTGGGAACATCCAACTTCTTTTGCAATTACCTTTTAAGGCTTTCCCTCCTTATGGAGGGTGTCAATGATGGTTTTCTGCACAACTGTCAGGTCAGCAGTCTTTCCCATGATTGTGATACCTACTGAACCAGACTGAGAAACCATTTAAAGGCTCAGGAACCCTTTGCAGGTGTTATGGCTTATTTAGCTGATTAGAGTGGGACACTTTGAGCCTAGAATATTGCACCTTTTCACAATATTCTAATTTTCTGAGATTGTGGATTTGGGGTTTTCATGAGCTGTAAGCCATAATCATCACAATTTTCACAAATCACAGCTTGAACTATCTTGCTTTGCATGTAATGAGTCTATCTCATATATTAGTTTCACCTTTTAAGTTGCATTACTGAAATAAATTAACTTTTGCACGATATTCTAATTTTTCAAGTTTCCCCTGTATATGAGAAGGTGAAGCTGTATTTAAAGCTGAAGTGAGGTGAGATATATACATCCCTAAATTGGGAGGTCTCCACCCTACAAAAATGAAGATACCAATAAGCAAGAAAATAGGGATATCAAGGGTGATCTACCAGTATAAGCATTTGAAAGATCAAAAAGATACACATACAGTACAATAGTATAAAATTGCATCACCATTTTATTCAAAGAGAATATGGAAACAAACTACAAATGATAAAATTATTGAAAAATCATGATTTGCACAATACACTTGTTGTTGGGGATAATAAGGCATTTTGCTGCGGTAACAACTGCTTCTTCAGATTATTGCACTCAAGTGTTACAAATGTTCATAACATCTCTATAAATAGAAAATAAAAATAAAAAAAATATATATGTATATAAGATACATGTATATGCATGGGTACATTAACATAAATAATCAAAATTATCAACTGGCCATAGGAGGAGAAAGATGGACATACAACACCAAGAGAAAAAAAAAAACACACACACACACACAACAAGCAACTTACAAAAACAGTATAGAGAATCTCCAAATGTGGTCATCTCCATATAGATCAAGGGGAGGCATGTCAAGAAGAGACCATAGACAGGCAGCAATAGGCCTCAATTTTATAGCGTCATTAAATGCATAATAAATACCTACAAAAAATAGATCAATAGCGTGCTATCATTAAATAGATATTGAAAATATGTGGATTCCATTTCCTAGTCCACAACCTACTTACGCCGACTTAACGATGTAGTTCAAATTCTCAAATAGCAGGTGGGAGATCTCCCAGCTTATAATGTTCAAAGGCCGCACCACTACTCAAAATAAAGATGAAACATATATATCTGACAGAGTGCTGTAATGAGGAGACAGACCCCAATGGCCATAGAAGATGTGTGTCTCATATGTGGTTTGACCTCTCTAAAAGAATCAAACAAAACACAGGGAGAGGACATTCAGTGTCATACTTAATCATAAAAATTCAAAAAGCCATACTGGTCTGAAACACTCACCACTTTAGATGCATTACATCCATGAGAACTCACCACTATCCTGGTACAAACGTTACAAAGGATGAAGAGAAAGAAATGTCCCCTGTTAGCCCATCTTATAGTCCCTGTGCCTCCCAAGGAACTGCCCAAAATCAACCGGCCACAATATAACATGTGGCCATGAAAGGGCAGGAACAGAAGGCGGTGTCGTCGTCCCCCCCCCAGGGAGCCTGTCAACAGGTTATCTAAACGCAGATAATCAAATACATAAAGCATTAAAAAAGCCACCAATTACTTCACCATCATCTTGTTTGCATGTAGACCAAGCAAACTAAAGACCAAAGATGGTCGCTGCCATGGCGTATGCACTCCAAAATCAATCTACACATAGAACATCTACCATAGACAGTGCTCCATCTAGAGAACAGACCAGGAAATAACGGAATACAATAACTACAAGGAAATATGACCACCAGAAGCTCACAATTCCCAGAGGGGACCTGGTTCACACAGAGACAAGTCATCCTGGATGCAAATGAAACCAAACAAGACAAAACAGAATAAAATAAAACAAAACCAAAATCAAACAAAGCAAAACAGCACAAAGCAGAAAAGAAAAAGTAAAACAATTACTTGAAGTTGATGTCCACCGTCTATGACCTGAAAGCTCACAATCTTCAAAAATACAGTGACCAAAAACCCTTATTTTATACTCCGCCATTGGTTGATCATCTCTAAAAATAAAGATACAGAGGTAATACCAGGACATCAAGTGCCTGTTAAAAATGGGGCAAAGCTCATGGAATCATTTAGTCCAGGAGGGGCAATAGCATTTAATCTATAAATTCACATTGCCTCAATTTGTAATATACGTTGGTCAAAGGCGTCCCCATGAATGTGGGGGTGTATTCGGGCCAGGGCAAAAAAATTATAATTAATCGATCTGGTAGGCATGTCGCTCAATGGGGCTTTCCAAATTCCCACCCATTATATCTGCTACAGTGAAGGAAATAAGTATTTGATCCCCTGCTGATTTTGAATGTTTGCCCACTCACAAAGAAATGATCAGTCTAAAAATGGAATGGTAGGTGTATTGTAACACTGAGAGACAGACAACAAAAAATTCTAAAGAAATGCATGTCTAACAAATTATGCACTGATTTGCATGATCATGAGGGAAATAAGTATTTGATCCCCTATCATTCAGCAGGATTTCTGGCTACCAGGTGTCTTTCATATAGGTAACAAGCTGAGATTAGAAGCATTCTCTTATAGGGAGTTGGATCGGGACACCTAATGTAGACATAACCATCTACAAGATAAGTTCCCTTATTTTGAAGCAACTTCTCTCTGGCACAGGAGATAAAAGAAAAAAAAATGGTAGTAGTTATTCTCTTCTCTAACACTTATTAAAAAAAATATACTAATGATATCCCTCTTTTTAGGACTCAAAACATCTGGACAGTTTATGATGGCTTGGATTTTACAGGATTTTTACCATAAACAACTGAGGGAAGTGCTTAGTATAGTCAATATAGGAAATCATTTAACTTTTTTGCTATTTTTACTTTGTAAACATTGAACAGTTACCAAAGACACATTTAATGTAGTTGGGCCTTCTGTAAAGTCTCTGAAAAAAATCACATTCTCTTATATTGGACATAGTTCAGAAGAGAAATCTCTGGTACATATATTCTAAAAGTACCTTCCATCTTATTCTAAAATCACATGATTCCAGTGATTGTAAAGCTGCAGCCTAGGAGGTGAGTTCTCTGCAAATAATCAAGGGAAAGCACAGCTCAACTGTGTATTTTACTACCCCTGCGATCACAAGTGTAAATTAATAAGCTTCCAGGTTTTATTGCCAAAGTTTACTTGAACAAGCTGGAGTCAGAAGCTGATTGGCCACCATGCACAGCTGCACCAGATTCTGACTGCTCCAGTTTTAATAAATTTCCCCTGTTGCATTGAAGGCAGAGTGTGAGCACACCAGACAGAAATGCTGCCCATATATTTATTTCAAGACAGTTTTACTTAACACTTTAAGCTTTAGCAATAAATCCTGTAAGCTGTAACTACCCACAACGGTAAAATCAGTCTGTATATGTAGTAAAGCATGCTTGTTATACTCACTGTGGGACCTAAGTGGTTAATCCTCTGCATTGTGTAAAAAGGCTGTTTGATCCTTTCTTCTCTGTTCCTCCCCTTTTTCAAGCGAACACCACTTATCTCCAGACTGAACTGTAGGCATGCATATGCTCAATATTTGGTGTATATTGCTAGAGTGGTTTTTTTTTTCTTGAGAAAGTGCATGTGATCCGCACAGGGCCAATCAGCACTGTCCAGACAGAGGTCAGGGGATTTCCATCCACCTAGAGCAGAAAAAAACTCCTCCTACAAGCTTTAGCAAGTGGGCTGTACACTGATAGAAGCCACAAGACTGCTCTAACTGCTGATGAGAAAAGGTATTTAGCAGTTTATATTTACTAAATAATTGCATTTCCATGTTCTGTGTAGTGTGGGAGACCAGATATAGTGGATGCAGAGTCCTGGGTTTAGTAACACTTTAAGTGAACAAGCTGAGGTTAGAAGCTGGTTGGCTACCATGCACAGGTACAAGAGATTCTTAGAGAACCAGCTTTAGTAAATAAACCCCTTTGAGCTAAGGGATATAAATTCTCCCGTTGTTGACTTTGCATGCTTCCTAGCAAATACGAAAGTCATATACTGAACCTAAATTTACTTCAGAGAAATTTTTAAGATGGTTTATTATGTTTCCTTGGGTTGAGATATAATTTTGGTAACATGATACACAAATATCTGTATATCACAGTTATTGCCATGTGATCATTTCTTATGTATACTAAAGTGTAGTTCTATTTTTCAGTCTAATTTGCCCCCTCTCATTATGTTTATTATGTGTTCCCCCAGCATACCTAATAATCATTTTTTTCATCTGTTGTTCTTTTCTGGGTGCTACTTTGTAGGTTTTACAGGGCTCCATGCCACTCTGAACAATTTCAAGGATGGGACAAATGCAGATAAAGCACATTAACATACAGGGGGAGATATACTAAAGCTGGTCCACTCAGAATCTCGTGTACCTCTGCACGGTAGCCAATCAGCTTCTAACCTCAGCTTGTTCAATTAAGCTTTAGCAATAAAAGCTGTAAGCTTCTTGGTTTCCATGCAGAAGTGCACAAGATTCTTGAACCAACTTTAGTAAATAAACCCCACAATGTACAACCCAAACCTTCAGTATTTTACTTTTTGTTGGGACAGACACTGTTCATATCTAGTTTGCAACTGATACTGGAGATCTGCCAGCACAATAAATACAAGCTTAACTATGTTAAACATTACTCTACAACTCTTTCGTTAACATTACTAAGAGGGGGAAGTAAGGTAAGATTTTAAGTAAATAGTTTTAAATATTTTCCAGTTATGCTATGTGAAAGGGAACATGTTATAAATCTATCCCAATTTTCTGCAAAATTGAAAATACATTTTAAGGTAACTTTAAAAAACCAATTGACATGAACTAGAAGCTTACAAATTGAGTGATACAATATGCATTTTAATATTTAGCTTGCACTGTGTGTCATGAACTAGAAGCTTACAAATTGAGTGATACAATATGCATTTTAATATTTAGCTTGCACTGTGTGTCATAATTGCTTTTTTATTTATTTATTTGCAAAAGGTACCTGTCTACATGCATGCCCTCTGATAACATGGTAGTTTTGGGTTTGCTGATAACAAAGACTATTAATGGCCATTTCAACACAAATTATGCATGTATCATTCACTATCAGTAGCCCAAATGCAGGAGCACAGTTAGAGGCATTGTCATACTTTAACAAGGTTGATTTACTAAAACTGGAGAGTGCAAAATCTGGTGCAGAGCTGCATAGAAAACAATCAGCTTCCAGTTTTTTGTCAAAGCTTAATTGAACAGGCTGAAGTTAGAAGCGGATTGGCTACGATGCACAGCTGCACCAGAATTTGCACTCTCCAGTTTCAGTAAATGAATGTGTCAACCTTCATGGCCGTAACATAGGATTTTGATTAAAGCTGTAGATATAAAATATTAAAAATTACCTTTGAAATGACATTACCATGTTTAAAGCCTCTTTGAGATCTTGGTAATTTGGTTTATGTATACTTATGAATATATTTCCTGTTAGCATTCAACACAGTTTTTCAACTTGTATGCAAAAATATCTGTGAATTAAAGTGATACTAAAGGCTTAACTTTTTTTCCTAAAACAAACATGTCTATACTTACTGCTATGTGCGGTGGTTTTGCACAGACTAGCCTGGATCTTCCTCTTCTTGAGTACTCCGCAGGCTCTCCTGGCTCCTCCCTCCTGTTGGGTACCCTCAAAGCAAGCAGCTTGCTATGGGGCACCCGCTGCTTTATGTGTCCTTTCACACACGGAGCTGTGGCTTGGCCCCACTCCCTCTCTCTTCCAATGGCTCCCACTGCTGTCTCAGCCCATGAGAAGAGGGAGTCCCAGGATAGCTGAGGCTACAGTGGACATTGCTGGATTGAGAGGGGGGCTTAAGTGAGTATTGGGGGGCTGCCGCACAGAGAAGGTTGAGCCTTTATAACCACTTTAAGGCTATCAACAATCATGAGATGGCAGTTGATAGCCCTAACCTATATGTAATACATGTATTATCATTCAGCTCTGGTCTTTCAATCCAAATAATTCAAATAGATGGCATTTTGTTCAGAAATGGAGAAAACATGATAAAGTTCTCTTCTCTTTACGAAGAGAAAGGGAAAAGTTATAGTAGTACCTCCAAATCAGATTTTCCTAAGCATGCCTTTAACAGTTTAATAGAAAGGATAACACCTAGGGGAACTGGATACTCAAAGGTCTCAGACTTAGGACTATAACAGCTTGGGAAATGCCATGACACTGTAACACAGAGACAATTGTGAATAAAATAATAATTAGTTTTGTTAACATTGCTCATGACAATAACAAAAGGCAACAGCAGTCAGTAATGCTCAGGAGTGTTTCAATGTGATTAGCAGTGGGGTCCCCTTTACTACACTAAAATCCTAGTTCAGAGTTTTCAGGAATTTAGCTTCACACTGTACTCTATACTGTGCCTACTGCTGATAGCTATGACATACTCTTGAAAAAGACTTTGGAGACATGTGACCATGTGGCATATGGAAGACCTTCACCAATAAAACACCATGACCAATGGTGTGTTGGTGCACCACTGGGGAAATGTGGGCTTGCCAGCTCAAGGATCATTTTTTCTTGCTTCAACAACTGCATCAGTAATTTATTATTATCACATTATTATATTATGCACAGTGAAAATATCAAGTAACATCAATAATAGTAACATTGTAGCATGATATAACTATTCTATAAAGTTAGACAAGCATAATAGTGGTATCTAGAAAGAAAGTACATTTTATATAATCGTAAATTAAATAATTTGTAGAAACAAAGTAAGGATGCATTAAGTAAAATCAAATGGATCCATCTGTACATGATAGGCTTTAATGTTTTGTAAACAAGATGGCCACATAACGCTAAAGAAAAAATGGACCGGATTACCTGTATTAGATTTCATTGTTTCACTGGAAACTGTTTGCCCAACAAGGTCATATTGGAGAAGACTTGAAGATTCTTCTGGTACCTCAACTGAGTATAAAGGTCCTTTCTTCCAAGTATAAACTATTTCACTTTTTGGGTATGCATCTGTTTAATTGAGTTCAGAACAGAGAAAAAGAATAAATGTAAAATATAACCCTTGCAAATGAGTAGCAATGCTGAATCATATTGACTCTACACTTTTCCATTTCCTGATGGTGGAAAAAGAAGATAAGGCTTGCGTGTGTGTGTGTGAACGGGGTTGCTTAGAAAAGCACTTCAAGTTTTTCACAATGAGCTGGCCTTGCCGGATCAAAAGGCAATAAGCTGCATTCTCAGTTTAGTGTTATATACAGTAGAAGTCAGAAATCTTCTGAGCTGAAAACATCCTGTCCTTTTTGTATGTGCTTCATTTTAATCTGTTACATTAATTCCAGCTATTTCTGTGGACTAAAACATGCTCTATGTTAAGGAGAATGCACGGGAGGAGAGGACTTTGTCTTCTGTATTAGGGTGGCAATGCTACTACTCCATAGATACAGTACAACAAGTATGCATTGTCACCCTAGTGCAGAAAGTATGCCACAAGCAGGATGATAAAAATAAAGGAAAAAAGCCTGAAAGAAAAAAAAATCAGCTACCACATTTAAGGAATTCTTGCATTTTGTTATACCATTTTCAATATAAGAATTTAGGATAATTTTATGTTCTAGGCTTGGGACAATAGAGTAACTTAATATTAAAAGTTTAGTATAGGATGTTGTCTGTCTCTAGTTTTCTCTATGGCTATCTGTAGCTTTTTATGTAGCTTTCCCTCTCTTCTCATTTCTCAAATTTTGGAAAAAAAAAACAATTGACAATAATATTTTCTATTTTCTGTTATAAACCATATCAGCTGAAAATAATCAAAAATCACATTTCTTCATAAATTTAGGCCAAAATGTTTTCTGCTACATGTCTTTGGTAAAACAAAATCCTTATAAGTGTATATTAATTGGCTTGTGCGAAAGTGATGGTATATATACTGACATTTTTATTGGTTTATTTTTTATACTAGTAATGGTGGCAATCAGTGACTTATAGTGGAACTGTGATAGTGCTTCGGCAATGTGACACTAAATGACACTGGCATCTCTAGTGACACTAATACAGTGATCAGTGCTGATACTATGCACTTTCACTGTGCTAATGACACTGGATGGGAAAAGGTTAACATCTAGGGTGAATCAAAGGGTTAACTGTGTGCCTAAAAATGTGTAATGTGTGCTGCTTTTACTACTAGATGTGACTGTTTTATCTCTCTACTTTGCAGGGTTTAAAAAAACAGCCACATCTTGTTTTTAACACAGGGCTCTGAACTGTCATCCCCTAAGCTGATTAGCAGGTCCCAGCCATAAATCATTGGCTGAAACCTGCTGATCACTTTGTGCTGTAGCAAATGACAGCACTGAAGGGGCAGCGGATGTGCATGCTCATGCCCCCTAACTAGCAATGCCAGATCATGTACATGATCTGGCGCAGTGGGGTCACCCTGCTGCAGTAAAACTGTGGTAGGTGATCCACAAGTAGTTATATTGCAGCATTCCAATTCATAGATTTAATGGCTGCCTTCATTTTTTTTAGGCTTTCTTTCTTCTATTTTCATCTGGTGACCCAGCCGGAAAGTCTGTTCTTTTTGAAAATCACAAGCTCTCCAGCAGAATGTATCAGTTACATGGATGAGGCAAACCATATAACACTGGCAGGGCTGCTTAAAATGATCAGCTCTTGTTTATTAATGTAAAACCATTATCCCAAAAGTACACATATTGTTTGCTGTAACTGATTATAAAATGTGAACCTGAGTTTGTAATCAATTTGTTAGTGAAATTAAATTTGCTAATACATTTAACACTATTCTCCCCCCAGCTGACAGGGCTGCTTTCTGCTGTTCCTCCTGTGCTCATTCATCCAGAGTGGTGTCTCACTAATAAAGCCAAAAAAAAAAGAAAACTGATGCAGTCACCACATATAATGATTGGTAAGCTGCAATATATTACATTTTTGGTTTTGGGTTTAATTCCACTTTAAAGCGATAACAAACACACAGTTTAATTTACATTTTTCTTTTTATTTCTGTATGTAGAAGATGGCACTGTAGGTATAAAAAAAAAAAATCAAAGTACCTTTTACCTAATCGATATACAGCTGTCACATGACCCAGATCAAGCAAGAGGAGCTTCTAGTCCTCTGCTGCTGGTCACATATTCAAAATAAAAAGACACAGCCTTTGGAATACAGAGTAAAAGTACATTAACCCCCCCTGGCGGTATTAACCCTGGCGGGGTTAAATATCAGTATCTGCGAGTATCGGAGCATACGGGGGCGGAACCAGCGGGAGATTTTAAAAATTTTAAAAAGTGACATTCACTAAATACACCAAAATCACATAGTAAAACATTACTGTATCAAAGCATTTCACATATATTTTGTCCCTACTGCTTTGTCCTGTGCCCTGCCTGCATTTTTTACCGTTCTTTCTGCCTTGAAACTGAGAAAAGTCCATTGCGTCCAAAAAGTGTCCCTTTATGTCAAAAGAGGTTTGAGACCAGCTAGAGAACAGTGATAGTAAATCAGAACCACTTGCAGAATTGAGTGATAATGATTTGTGGGGAAATTCGTCATCAGACACTGAAAACGATTTTGTGACTAAGCTCAGTGATGTGCGGACTTGGTGCTTTATTTCAAAGTTTTTGGTTTGATTATTGAATTAAATTTATTATTATTACATTATTATTTTTTATGATTATTTATTATATTATAATTTATGATTTTGTGTTTAAAATTTTATCATACCCGGGATGTTTACTAGACTCTTGTTCGGACAAATTTCAGTGAGTTATTCCTAAAAATTACAGGACTACAATAAAAAACAACAAATTTCCATTTTTAAAAAATGTACCGCTTTGAGCACAGAAATAATGACATAATCATACCACTAGGGAGGTTAATAATATCAATAAACTATTTTAAATTGGCATACAAATATACAACTAAATAAACTACATACAAAATATTTTGTGAAAATAACATGGTTTGGGCAGATTTCTGCCAGTCACAGTCTGTGCCAACCCCTCCAGCCTGTGTCTTAGAATAAGGGGAGGTGATTCCTCCATCAATCTACATGTAATATCCCACTCCATTGTGTTTAGCTGGTTAGTGGGCTGGGAGGAGGAGAAGAGAGAGAGAATGGGCTGTCATTTGCCACTGTGTATAAGCCCACATGTGTGACTCTCTACTCACATGGGCTGCTCAGATGTGATATGAAGGATATGCTCAGCATAGAAACTCACTGAAAACTGAGCATGTGCAGAGTTGCCTCTACAGCTGCAAAATCCCTAGCTGAATTGGGGACATGAACAGAAGGAGGATATAGAGAACAGCAGGATCAACCAGGTTTTTTGCAGAATACAGAAAATGATTCTCATGGTGAGTGAGTAAAATAGCATTTATTGATGTTTTTTTTTATGATGCGAGTTTAGTGACACTCTAACGTATGCTTTTACATAGGGAAGGCCTAGTTCATTAACTTGTATGACAGTAATGAAATCAATGTGTTCTAAACATTCTCTAAAAGATGCCTTCAGCTGCATGTACTACCTTTATGAACAGCAACATCACTACTAACACAAAATTAGTACTGTGTAACCCATTAAAACAACTACTATTTATTAATAAATAATGGTGTATAAATGGCACATCACAATATGCATCTGTAAAAAAAAAATCAATTCTACATACAGCTGCCAAACTTCAGGGGACATGCATGTCCATCCATAGGAAAATTCATTAACCTCATGGGACATTCTGCTTTAATTGTCAATCTGAAATAAAGATACTACGACACTTTAACGCAATATAATTTATATCATGTCTTATATTGTTTTGTGCTGTGCAAATATTAAATTATACATTAAAGCTTTATTTTGCTAATGCTTTATGTTATGTGCAACCAAACATTTTAAAGACTCAGACTGAAAGAGTTGTATTCATATGATGTCAGAAATGTGTTATTACAGTGTGCCACTTTACATACCAGCATCAACATATGCTTTCCTGAAGCCACTCCAGTGTTGAAATATGGAGTAAACTTATTTAAAGTCGTTCTAAAGCCAAAACTTTTTTTACCTTAATGCATTCATTGAATTAAGGTAACAAAAACATTTCTTGCTTTCTGTTCTCCCCCTTCCCTGTGTGAGGGGGAATAGAGGGGAGAAGAGATGAAGCGCAGTGCACGGCTGCATCTCTTCTACCCTATCTTCATGCAAGATTCGAGCAGCAACAGGAGCCATTGGCTCCTGCTGCTGTCAATCAAATGCAGTGAGGAGGAAGCAAGAGATGGGGCTAAGCCCCTCTGTGTGTTTCTATGGAACACAGACCTATAAACACGCATAGCTTAGGAGTGAGCACACACTGTGTGCCCCCACAGAAAGCTATGGGGGCAATCAAAGAAGAGACAGGATCGCTGGCAGGGAACCCTAGAAAAGGAAGCATGGGGATGCTCTGTGTAAAACCATTGTACAGAGCAGGTAAGCACAATATGTTTATTATTTTAATTTTTTTTAAATGCCTTTAGTGTCACTTTAAGGCTAACTGCACAGTATATGAAAGAGATTGGTAAAGTATTTCCTTGTTTGATACTGCAGGCCACTTCAGTTGGCTAATTACATCTGGAAACATCCCCTACTTGTAATAGTGTTGAAAGAGAACAGTAAAATTTGAGTAAAGCCACCAGAGATGAATAGTTAAAGTTATTCCCCAAGATTTAAAGCTGATTTAGAACTACTTAATTTCAGCAAGTATTCCTGCATTAAGTTAAAAAAAATTTCAGATTGTGTGTTGCTTCCTCACCCCCTCTTATACTTACCTGATTCTGATCTTAATCCGTCACTGTGCAGTGGCTCTCTCCTCCTCTCCCCACTCTCACTGGCTTTCCTGAGAGCAGCTGGAGCTATTGGTTCCTGCTGCTGTCAGTCAAATCCTGTGATGAGGAAGTGGGGTTGGGCCAAGTCTCACTGTCTGTGTTTATGGACTCAGGCAGCATGGCTTGGAATTGAGCCTGCTAGTGTACAGCAATAGGAAGTGGCTTCCTATAGTGGCACACTGAGAAGAGACGGAGCCAGGACAGCCAGCAAGCGGCCCTAGTAGAAAAGGATCAGGGCTGCTCTGTGCAATGCCACTGCACAGAACAGGTAAGTATATCATGTTTGTTATTTAACAAATTACTTTACAAATAGTTTAATTTTGTTCATTTTATAAAAGTTAAATGCACTGCATTTGAAAAATTATTTAAATTGTATTGAATGGTGTCATACTGGGCTAAATGTTTAATAGTGTTATATAATTCACATACTGTAGTACATATAGTAGCATGTCTTGTATTACAATATTTTTTTGCATCGGATTCAATTTCAATTGCAGACTGCTTTGCAAAGTCCTTATAGGGTTATATCACTTTTTGATTAAGTCTGAGCCAACTATCAGTATTATTTAGACTCACAAAGTGCACAAACACCCTACTCTGTAATATTAATTAAATGGGAGGTCCATAATATCCAAAGTCATTCCAGTTGACCTATTTATACTCTGGCTTATTACACTAATTATCAAGGTCAACTAAAGTTTAAAGACATGAGCGTCTATGATGACATTTAAGCGTGATTTGATATGTTGTATGTGATAATGTCAAATAAAATGTGCAAGATAGGTACTTGGCAATTTGTAACCAAGTTCTGTAATTAATTTATTATTTAGGGTAATGCCTTCTCTTACCTCATAGTGTAGAGGATTGTTCCATTCTGCATAATTCGGAAAAGTTTATTGGGAGTCGTCATATTATGAGAGATTGACCTTTTCCCATTTCTGAAAAAAGTGTCTGGTGTCCAAATCTTACTGACCATTAAATTATTTAACCTAAGTATTTCTGTAGGACCATCAAATTTTAGCCGTTCATCAATCCATGTCTGCCGGAAAAAAACATCCATTGTGTATTCCTATAGGAAAAATTAAGACCATTAAAGGTTTCAGGGCAAAACACCAGACCAAGTAATTTAATAGACAACTTAACTAGCATGTTAGCCACACTTCTGTCACTGCTTAATGATTTTAATCCTATTACCATTAAGCAGTTACTTAAAAAAGCTACTATAGGGGGAGGGGGAATGTGCTTTTACTTAACGTCTCGCTGAACAAAAACTTAATCAAGCAGTATAAAATAGCTTGAATGTTCTAAGGCAAATTACCTGAAAACTTTTAAAATAATTACATGCAAATATATAATACTTACAATAACAAATGTAAGAAATGGATTGAAAGCACTAAAATCAAACTTTATCTTTGGAACACAATCATAATGCTAATATAGTGTAAGTTTAATTAGTTCTGTGCAAAATTAGTTGGTTTTTTTTTTTTTTTTTTTTTTTATTACAACAAAGTGTGAAATTGAGTTACTGCTATATTAAGATTTCTTCAAGACTAAGACACTAAGTTAAGGAAATTTGAGGTCAGTGTAAAATGGAATTTTCTGATAAAGCTTTCATGCTGACATTTTTTATTTCTATGTGGGAAGATTTGTAAAAATGGGTATATTCTAATTAGCTATTATATGATGCGATAACATTCATGGCATGTTCATAAAATTGGCATATATATGTTCAGTGACCTATTCCATGCTTCTCCTTGATTACTCACATGTTTGCGTATAGAGCAGTCATGTCTTCTGGATCAAAATGGTGCAGCATGTGTAGCTGGCCAATTATGGATAATAAAATGAGTGTTTGGTGTAATCAGCAAGTATAAGGAACAATGTTTTTTTACTCATAGCAACCAATCCAATTTCAGCTGTTCAAAAAAAAAAACCTAAATATGACTGCTGAATGGTTGTTATAGCAAACTGTATGAACTAAGAGATCAAATATTTCCAAAACAGTGCTGAAAGACGTGGCTTTGTAGGATTCCAAACTGTTCATGTTCTGGAAACAGCAAATAATCCATTCAGTTTAAAAGTTAACAAATTGGAGAATTGCCAAACTGCAAATTTGTATGCTCCAAGAAGACTTGCTCATTCTGCAGAGAATCCTACATTTTATGATTCTCTGCATATCAGACAGTATGATGGTAAATAAATGTATGCAGGCAAATACAAATTCATTAATTTTAGTGCTCCTGATTTGATTATCGGTGTCTGTAAAGCCCCCTAGGTTCATGACTCGATTCTGAAATAACTTTGAGAACATATTAAATATAAGCAGACATATTTAATGGTATAAATATATAGACTGATATGTTATCAGCTTGCTTGCCATATTTTAGAATAATAGAACAGCATAGGCTAAGTTTGATAGAGGCAAATCATGGAAAAACCCATTGTTGTTGTCATTGGCAGTCACAAAATATTAAAAGTCATGCTAATTCTTTGTGAACATTTACTGAATTTAGAGGTATGTTTTTAACCATATGTTTGGAGAGTAGAATCAGCTTGTTATATGTAACCAATATCAGTTTTAATATATATTTTTCATGAATAATTGCAGCTATAATTATAATTCATTATTTAGTCCTTTTACAAGTAAGCAAACTCTTAAAAGCTACAGTAAGAAATGTGCTTTCACTAACATCTCACTGCACAAAAAATGTAATCAAGCATATGAATACTCCAGGTCTCAAGTATTTTGGTGTTCACAGTAGTGTTACAGGGGCAGCATGGGGGAGGCGAAAGTCACTTTCTGACTTTGGGTTAACTTTTTCTGATCATTTTATAGAGATCCTTCTTAGTAAATATTGAACAGCCATGTGATCATCCTTTAAGATAATGTTTATCATACAGGCAGATAATGTTTAAAACTGTCTAACGTAGTACAGTTATTATTCTATGTGGACCTTTTCGATTGAATTTCTTTATCAGTTTGACAATAAGTAATAAATAAATAAATGAAATTATACATTATCTTTGATATATGCCAAAGTAAAAAGCCATCAGGACTGTAGTAGCAGTGTTGAAAGGATTTCAGATTGAAACAATATAAAATATACTTCTGACTGATTGTTTTAATTGTGTATTGATTTTATTGTCCCCAAATGGTTTAGTTTTTTCAACATTTGTATAGAAATTATCATGTTAAATGGTGTTTAGATTGTGATTACTATGACATGGAAAATAGTCTGCAAAAATTTGGCTTTAGTGCACACATTCAAAACAGAGCTCCAGCCAAACACAGTTGAAGTACATATATGTGAACTATTTTACCTTCTTAAATATCTTTTATTTAGTGCAGCTTTTTGTGGTTCACATCATTGCTACTTTAAGCTGCATGTCAATAACCATATAGTAAGAACAATAGGACAGTGACCTACCTGATCCTTCCCTCTTCACAGTGAGAAGAGGAAAGGAAGAATGTTACCAAGAAACAATGGCAGGTTGTGTGGGGTATAAACATTGGATAAATGTCTTCTTCATTTCTTCATATGTAGACATCTCCTGGGAACCCTAAAGTTACCGCATTAGCGAGTTACTTTTATGTATGTTGTAACACCATACCTGCTAAAAACACATAGCTGCAAATATACTTACCATTCTAGACCATTTCCTCAAACACTACCACTTCAGTGCTTCTTGGCTACTGAAGGTATTCTGTACTTCCAGATGTGTGGAATACTTGCTACCACATGACACACAGGGGTTGATTTACTAAGGCACCTTGTCTGCAAATTATTGCAGTTCCTTGGATAACCAACTACTATTAGGTAGAGAAGAGATTTACTAAACCACTCAGTCCACAAATAGACACAATCAAAATTTACTATTGGTCACAGAATTTAGAGACCATCTAAATGAAGTCACCTCTTAGAACTAGGTGAACAGCAGAGAAAAATCATTTAATGACATGATCCCAAGTAATTTATACTTCCTATACATATGTTGGACATTTTTAAGAATAATTGCTTTAACCACTTCCCGACCGGCCGTTGCATATAAACGGCCGGACGGTGGCACTGCAGTGTCGGGTGGCCGTTTATAACAGCCTCCCCGCACCCTGGGAGCACGCAGCACCGCGATCCAGTGCCCGCTGTGTCCTCCGGACACAGTGAAACACCGATCATCGGACAGGACCTCTGTACGAGGTCCCAATCATGTGATCACTGATTGGCCAATCAGTGATCACACGCAAAGTAGTAAGCAAGATGTCACTTCTGACATCATTGCTTACTACGTGTGAAATCTGTGAATGATCACAGAGGTCACATGGTACAAGGCTATTCACAAAAGCCTTGTACCATGTGACAAGCTGTGACCAATCACAGCTCACTCAGTACTTCTCAATGAGTGCAAGAATGCACACAGAGAGAAAGAGAAATTATTGCTTTTACATCCTATATGGGTGTAAAAGCAATCAGTGTAAAAAAAAAATCTTCATCACCCCCCACAAGTAGTACAGTGTCACTATGATGATCCTGTACTGCTAGGGTGACAGCATGTAAAAAAAAAACAAAAAAAACAATAATATAAAAAAATAAAAAAAAATGTAAAAAAAATGTTTAAAAATTATAATTTTTGGTTATAAACTAATTTGGATTTTTTTTTTTTACTAAAAAGATAATGGAATAAATTTTGGCTAAGATATATGATGAAATATTATTTATTTGCAAAATTTTATAAAAAAAACACTTTTTTTCAAAATTTTTGGACATTTCATTTACATAGCAAAAAAAATACAAATCCCAGTGGTGAATAAATACCACCAAAATAATGCTTTATCTGTCTCAAAAAAATGGTAAAAAATTCATTTGATTACAGTGTTGCATGACCACGCAATTGTCATTCAAAGTGTGATTGCGCTAAAAGCTGAAAATTGCCCTGGTCAGGAAGGGGGTAAAAGTGTCCGGTCTGGAAGTGGCTAAAATAATTCTAGATTTGTCTATATAAAGTGATATATTTAAAAAAATCCAAACAGGCATCGACTTCACCTAGTTCAGACATCTCAGTAGTGACATGACTAAGCATGCTCAGACCAGGAAAACTGAAAACTATAGTAAATGCCTTTGTTGGCAAGCCTGGTAGTGTCGTGGAAAAGAGTGAACATGTTCCTGTAAAACGTGATTAATAAACAGGTTAACATTTATATATATATATATATATTAGACAGAAGTTGTCAAACAAATCTGATTTCTTTTTATGAGGGGGTGAGCAAAACCTTGGACAGAGGGGTAGCGGTGGACGTGGTATATTTGGATTTTGCAAAAGCGTTTCACACAGTTCCCCACACATGGCTAATGTGTAAGGTAAAGTCTACGGGCTTGGAAAAATCCATAAATGGATAGAAAACTGGCTAAAAGATCGTATTCAAAGAGTAGTGGTTAATGATTCATACTCTGAATGGTCTGGGGTCATCAGTGGTGTACCCCAAGGTTCTGTGTTGGGACCCTTACTTTTTAATATATTTATAAACGATATGGGGTCTGAGATTAAAAATCCCATTTCAGTCTTTGCATATGACACCAAGCTGTGCAGTGGAATAATGTCCTTACAGGATGTCTTCAACTTACAAGCCGACCTCAATGCACTGTTTAATTGGGCAACTACATGGCAAATGAGGTTTAATGTTGATAAATGTTAGGTTATGCACTTGGGGGCTAAGAATATGCACGCATCATACATACTAGGGGGAGTACAACTGGGGGAATTAATGGTGGAGAAGGATCTGGGAGTTCTGGTAGATCACAAGCTTAATAATGGCATGCAATGCCAAGCTGTGTTTTCTAGCAAGCAAAATCCTCTCTTGTATTAAATGAGACTCCAGAGAGAAATATCATATTACTCCTGTGCAAATCATTAGTAACACCTCATGTGGAATATGCAGTTCAGTTTTGGGCACCAATTCACAAAAAGAACATTGGGGAACTTGAGAAAGTACAGAGAAGGGCAACTAAACTGATAAGAGGCATGGGGAGCTCAGCTATGAGGAAAGATTAGAGGAACTGAATGTTATTCTCTCTT